CTTCCTGCAGCACAGTCTGCTGGCATCTGAGGGTGAAGGGGCTCGTGGGTTAGGGCACAGGCGACTACCATCCCTCCCAGTGATGATAAAACTGGATCATCCTGAGAAGCCGGGTCTGACTCAGCTACACTTAGAAAGCGTCGTCTCTCCCATGCCGGAGGGCCTTCCTGGAGCAGGTGCCTTGATGGGATCAGGGGAGGATGCTGCTGGTGGTAGTCGGTAGGACATGGAGGAGCCTGTGACTCCCAGAAGAAGAAAGGTTAAGCTCAGAGCTTGGCCCCACTTTTTGTGTTAGGAGGTGTGGGATTCTGGTTGCGTGCGTGTGTGTATAGACTCTGATCAGTGTGCACTCTGGACCAGAGAGCTGGATGCTTCAGGCTTCACCCTGACTCTGCCTGCCATGCTCTTGGCCCTTGGAGAGCACTCAGGTCTTGGTTTTCTCACTGGAGTGAGTTGTAGGCAGCTAGAGCTGCTCTGGACTGCTGAATGGAGGGCTGTACTGGCTTTCCTGGCACTTAGGCGATGACCTTAGCCTGCAGAGGGGTAGAGACAGGGTGCCTTTTTAGGGGCTCGTGACAACAGGACATTTTAAGCTTACTTGACCACCCAGAAAAGTGTCCTGTCCACCAGAGTGTAAGGTGGCATGGGGGGTCCCATAGGTGGGCAATGTGCTGAGGCAGTGGTGGGGGGCTCGGTCTCTCAGCATCCCTGGGAAAGGCAAGTGCCTTCCTCTCCCTGGGCCTCACTTTTCCCATTTAGAAACAGGGATTTGGATGAGAAGTGTTTGAGGATCTATGTTCTCGGTGTCTATGAACTCGACAACTCAGGGTGTCAAAAGGGGCGGGGGTGCAGGCCTTTAAAGCATCTTCCCAGTGGTGGCTTCCAGCCATGGCTGCTCATGGGAGGGAGAGTGAGCTGCAAGCTCTACTTTATTAGAAGGGTTGTCAGAGCTCCTACCCCTGAGCTTGCTGCCTGCTGCCTGCCTGAGTGTATGACTGCTTGCCTTCTACTCTTTGAGTTCTGGTTGTCAATACAAGGCCCCTGTTATGTAGATATATAATTTGGGAAGATTCTAATGACCCAATTGTAGATTCTAATTAATACTTAGAATGGTCACTTCTAAAATGAGGTTAGAAAAAGAAGAGCCCTGAGGCAATGGCATTAGGGGATTTTAGGTGGCAAGGTCCAGAGATGATGACTTAGGGTGGGGGAGTGTTACAGGGGCTCTGGGAAGCAGGGCCTCCAGGGTGGGGATCAGAGGGAGAGGTAGGTGGCCAGTTTCACCCCCTCAGCGTTGCTGGGGCTGAGCCCTGTAGGAGCAACCTGTGTGCTGGAGGGAGAGCCTGCACATGCAGGATGGACTCTCGTGGCCCACAGAGAAGGTCAGCCATCTCTGTTTCTCTTCTCCGGTTCTTGACTTTGCACCGGGCAACTAGGAATAATCTCATCAAATAGACCTCAAGGCTCAGGAGGCTGAGCCATGGATTTGCTGCTCTTAGCTTAGCCCCATTGCAGCTTTTAGCTTCCCCCAGAGCGAAGCACTGTTCCTCAGGTTGCAGGCCACAGTCCCAGAAAATAGCTGGTTCCTTTTGGCACCGAACCAGGTGAGTTAGACAGTGCGACTCATCGAAGGGGCATCCCCAAGACTTGAAATACTAAGGGTACACATTTTTTCAATGAAAACTTATCTTTGGAATTATAAAAGAAATATTACACTATGGAGAGTGTAGATAAGTTGCCACCTTCTCACTATTGTCATTTTTCAGAAAATTTTTATTTTTATTTTTTTAATTTGTATTTCTTTGAGATGGAGTCTTGCTCTGTTGCCCAGGCTGGGCTCCCTGCAACCTCTGCCTCCCGGGTTCCAGCAATTCTCCTGTCTCAGCCTCCTGAGTAGCTGGGATTATAGATGTGCATCACCACACCCGGCTAATTTTTGTATTTTTAGTAGAGACGGGGTTTCACCATGTTTGCCAGGTGGGTCTTGAACTCCCAACCTCAGATGATCCACCCTCCTCAGCCTCCCAAAGTACTGGGATTACAGGTGTGAACCATTGTGCCCAGTCACAGAACACTTTTAACATTCATTTTTCAGGCCTTTCCTAACCATCCTATAATTAGGCCCTTTGTGGCCCTATATATATATATGTATTTTAAACAAATATTTGGCCTTATGTGTTAGGCACTGTTCTAAAACCTTTGCAAGGTTTTTTTTTTTTTTTCTTTTTTGAGATGGAGTCTCACTCTGTTACCCAGGCTGGAGTGCAGTGGCGCAATCTCAGCTCACTACAACCTTTGCCTCCCAGGTTCAAGCAATTCTTCTACCTCAGCCTCCTGAGTAGCTGGGACTACAGGCACGTGCCTGTATTTTTAGTAAAGATGGGGTTTCACTATATTGGCCAGGCTGATCTTGAACTCCTGACCTCGTGATCTGCCTGCCTCAGCCTCCCAAAGTACTGGGATTACAGGCGTAAGCCACCGCACCCGGCCAAACTTTGCAAGTGTTAACTTAGTCAATTCTCACTACAGCCTGCTAAGGTACTCTTACTTGTTCTATTTTAGATCTATAGGGGAAATTGAGGCACAGAGGGGTCAGGGAACTTGCCCACAGTTGTACAGCTGGTGAGTGGCAGAGCCGGTATTCGAACCCAGGCAGCCTGGCTTTAGAATCAACAGCCTGAGCTTCATGTCCTACTGCCCTGATCTGACTGTAAATACTGTTTGTTTATGTCTTTCTGTCCCTCCAGCTGCTGAGCTGCTCACCCTTTATTCACTTTGTATATCACAGTGTCTGGCACAGCATGGCACTCAAGTGTGATTTGTCAGGTGAATGAAAGAATGAATGAGAAAGGGGGATTTCCCATAACCCAACTACCTTGGCACGATAATTATGGTAATTTTGACAGATTGTAGATTTCAAATCATGGGTAAAGAACTGCTCCTGCCAGACCTGTTGTCCCGTCATTGTCTTTGAGGCCAGCCAGAACAGCCCAGCTGTGCCAACATACCTGGGGTGAGAAACAGCCCAGGTTCCTCATGCCAGCGGCCAGCTGTGGGTTGGCCTTGGGCCTGTCTCTGTCTTGATCTCACTCTTACTCACTCCCTTGCTGTCTTTCTGAGCCTCCTTATCGCTGTTTGCCTGTCTTGTCCACTTCTCATTGTGCCTCTAGACACTCTTCAAAGCCAGTGGAGTTTGAGGACGTGGAATAGTAATTCTATTTTATAATAATTACTGGGCAGTGTAAAACAAACATGAGCACAGCTGGCAAACAGTGTAGGCAGGTGGTTACTTTGGGATCCTAAAAAAGCAGAATACAGCTGAGATCTCTGTGACATTGTGGATTCAGAAACTGCAAACTATCCAGTCCCTGTGGTGGCTGCCCCTTGTGGGGTGGTGCCAAGGATGGCTTGGGGGTTTAGATCCTCCTAAATTTCCATTAGGTCCCAACAAGTATACAATATAGCTAAAAAATAGTGTATTAGTTATGAAAACGTACCTTCAAGATGAGTCTCTAGATCCCACATCCCCCACTTCGGATAAACTCTGGAGCTTCACAGCTGCCAGAGACCCATTTTTGCTGTCCTCTGCATTGCTAACCTTCTTCACTGATTCTTTAATAACAAGTGGGGCTGGAAGGCTGACCAGTGCCCTGATTCATTTAGTATTGATTCACTGCAGGTCCCAGGCACAGGTTGATAATTATCTAACTGTTATATTTTGACACACATTGGATGGCAATACAAAGGACCCATGAGGCAGGGTTCCCTTCTCAAAGAATTTCAGAGGAAAAGTTAAACGGCAGTGCAGAGGTTAACTGACACCATGTTGGCAGCAACAGATGGTCAGAGATGACTGTGCTGTGTCAAAGGCACGCAGGACAAATATGCACAACTGAGTTCATAAACAGGAGCAATCCTGTGGGCTGGAGAGGTGAGCTCAGGCTTTGTGGGAGGGTGGATTTGCCCTGAGGCCGGAGGATGAGTAGGAGCTGGACAGCTGAGCAGGGAGGGTGGGTGGAGGGTATTCTAGGCTGAGGACCAGCATGGGGTGTGGCTGACAGAACTAGAAGCACAGCATGGGACTCTGATGAGTGGGCCTAGTTGGGAGGTCTGATGAATATGCTCAGGCCAGGCAGTGAGTGTGATGCTGATGTCAGGGCTGCCCACAAACTTAAACAAAAGCCTAGGAACAAATGTGGTATGTACCATACTAACCAATGTGGGGAAAGAAATCACACACAGAGGCACTTCTAAGACACATTCAATAAGATCAGACGTGGGTGACTGTCCTGCACTTCTATCCTGCAGGCCAGGGCAGCACTCCCAGGAGATCCAGCATCTCCAGGTGCCAGGGTTGCCTTGGAAGGTGAGTCTGGGCCTCCCCTGTGCTGGGTCAGCTGCAGGGTCCTTCTGTACTCAGGTCCTCTGCTGAAATGACTCACTCTTGGTTTTGCAGAAGGATGAGGATGGTAGAATAGGCTGCCCTGGGCAGGTGTCCCCTTCAGTAGTCCTCTGGGTCAGTCTCTCTCACGGCCTGTTGATGCTGACAGACCCCAGACCACCTGTGGTATCCCAGAGATGAATGAGTCCTACTTCAAACAATGGCTGAGGCTTATCTAGCCTCTGTCCCACCAGAAACCAATCAGTTCCAGGAAGAGTTTTCCAGCCCTGCCTGAACCCTGCCAGTCCAATAACAGCATAGCACCTGGCATGTAGTGAGCACTACAAATATTTGGCTGATGAAATTCCCACCCTGTACGTCTCTGACAAATCCTTGCCCAAGCAGCCTCGACCTCTTCCCCACTCTCCAAACCTCCACAGAGGCCACAACTGCACCATTTCTGTTGCTATTCTCATCACTGGGTCACCATCCACCATGCATCTCCCTCTACCTTCTCCCCACCCCAGCTCTCCAGGACCCAGCCTACCTTGACGCCCAACTTGCTGGCTGGTCCTACTGTGACTTCTTGGGAAGCTTGCAAGGACGGAAAGCCCATGTGACTGCCTAAAGGGAGGGAGAACTTAGAAAGACGAGCAGCAGAGTTCTTGGTCCAGAACAGGCTAGCAGGGAAGAGAAAGCTGTCTGAAATATACCTTAATGTATCTGTGGGTATATGTGTATATGTGTATGTGTGTGTGTGTCTGTGTACACACATATATGGACATCTAAGTTTATGAGGCATCTTTGCATGAATATGTATTGATATATTTTCATTTATTGGCTTAATGGATTTTTTTCTGCTGTCCTAATATGCTTTTGCCTTCATCAGCATGTCTTTGGTTACAAAATCTGGGGTTTGGGAATCCAATCTGCAAGAGGGAGTATGAGCAGCGCTGGGAGGGCGTATCCCAATTCCACACCCCTCAACCCTCAGCACCAGAGGCATTGACGGAGAGGCAGGACAAACACTGAAGGTTGTTGAGGGAGTTGTGACATCCTATGAGAAGTGGAACTAGATAGCCATTGAGGTCCCTTTAATTCCAGTGAATCTAAATCTAGACTGCTTTGTATAGTGACCAGGACATGATTAAGTGGTGGTTGAAAGTGTGATGTCGTGGGCCATGGAGCTTCAGTGCTTATGAGAATGACCTCTGGTCAGATGCACCTGGGTTGAGGCACAGCTGCATAAGTTAATAATTGTGTGCTCTGGACATGTCTCCTAACCTTTCTGTGCCTCAGTTTCTTCATCTGTAAAATGAGAATGGCAATAGTACCTATTAAGGTTGTGGTGAGAATCAATGAGATAACAAATATGATAAGATAACACAGGTGGTACGAGCTCAGTCACTGTTGCTGGTGGTTGTTAGGCTGTTATTTTTGCTGAGGATTCAGTTTGAAACATCTGGATCCTCAGATGAACCACCTGGCTCTGTGGAGTCAGCCTTAACTGCCTTCTCCAGCTCCCATCCTTGCTTCTGACCTAAAATTCCACTAATGAGGGGGAAGAGCTCATTCCCTCAAAATGCCATCCCATAGCCAGTTCAGCTGGACACCAAGAGAACCTAGCCAGGCTGCACTCCACTCTGACAGCTTTGGCTCCAGCCAGGGTCCACCCAGCTGGACACTTGGAAGGGACAGACCATTCAATCCCAAATTCTGAGGCATCACTGCTTCCCAGGACAGCAAGTGACACCCTCTTTTATCCCCTAAACAACAGGAGTCAGAGATATGTTTATGTGGTGCTGTCCAGGGAGGATGAGGATTCTGATGGGCAGTGGCTCTGCAGCCTGCTTTTGGGCTGTGCACATGAAACTTATGCAAATGTAGCAGCCACTTCTGCTCTTACTCCCTCTAACCAGCTTCCTTCTGGGAGAGAAGGGCCAGGCTCACTCTTCAGTTGTGCTTCCGGACCAGATGCAGTGGTTCACACCTGTAATCCCAGCGCTTTGTGAGGCTGAGGTAGGTGGGTCACCTGAGGTCAGAAGTTTGAGACCAGCCTGGCCAACATGGTCTCTATTAAAAATACAAAAATTAGCTGGGCATGGTAACGCATGCCTGTACTCCCAGCTACTGGGGAGCTGAGGGATAAGAGTCAGCTTCCTGGGCCAGGAAGACGGAGGTTGCAGTAAGCTGAGATTGCACTGCTGCATTCCAGCCTGGGTAACAGAGCAAGATTCCATCTCAAAAAAAAAAAAAAAAAAAAAGGCTGGGAGTGGTGATCCATGCCTGTAATCCCAGCACTTTGTGAGGCTGAGGTGGGTAAATCATGAGGTCAGGAGATCAAGACCATCCTGGCCAACATGGTGAAACCCCGTCTCTACTAAAAATATAAAAATTAGCTGGGCGTGGTGGTATGCACCTATAATCCCAACTGCTTGGGAGGCTAAGACAGGAGAATTACCTGAACCCGGGAGTTGGAGTTTGCAGTGAGCTGAGATCGTGCTATTGCACTCCAGCCTGGCAAAGAGTGAGACTCCCTTTCAAAAAAAAAAAAAAAATTGTGCTTTCAATTTTGGTGTGAGCCCCTTGCAAAGGTTGCTTGCTCTAAGCTTGTCCTTCTCACTATCTGAGTCCCTATGTTTGGACTCATCTCTATACAGCAACAGGTTGGGGGGCTTCTCTTTAACCCACCAGCAACTGTTCAACCTGGCGCATGGGCAGGAAGCCTCAAGATTAAAGTCTGAGAACTTGGAAGGAATTATCAGATCCAACCCCATCATTTCAGATGAGAAAGCTGAAGACCGGTGAGAGGAAGAAACTTCTCCTGGTAAAGCACACTGGATGAAGCCGTGCTCCACCTCCAGCCTCCAGAAAAAAAATCACGGATAGAGTGCCCTCCACTGTTCACCAATTTTGCCTTTTTATATGAGAGTCTTCTTTTCTGAGAGGGTTGAGAATCCCTATGCAGTGCTCCTTCTGGAAAGGTCATTGTACTTAGCAGATTTTATTTTTGTTATTGGGGAAAACTCAACAGTCACGGGGAGGTGCTCCTCTTCTTTTGGACGGGGGAACAACAGAACTTCACTGGGGAGGAGTTCCTGAGGAGAGGCGTATAAGTGGGGGTGAAGGCAGTGAAACCCTGTGCTCCCAGGGGAGGAAGAGTGGGCCTTCAGTTGCATTTAAGAGGCCTCTTGCCCCTCCCCTGCCTCATAAGGAATCTGAAATATGTAAACCCCAGAGACTGACTCAATAAGAGTCATTTGCATAATATTTTAGGGTGATTTAGCCATGCGTTGCTTCAGGTGGCTGATTTAGCTATGCTGGGCTTGGTAGTAATAAGAATTGCCCTGGTTCTAACCAACACATCCTGTATCTCTCTGTTCAAGGACCCCAACCCTTGCTTGGGCACTTAACTGTTTGTCGAACTTGGACCAATCACCTTACTGTGTGCCAATGTCATGCTAAGCACAGGAATTTGAAGATGAAGCCAACCTGTGGCCCCTTCAAAAGTCAGGTCTGAGGCTTGTAAGGAGGTATCTTTTTGGTAGAGATCACTCAAAGATAAGCCCATGGGTGTCCCTAGTTTGGACAAAGTACCCCCCAAATTGGACCCATCTTGCTGTACCTGCCTACATGACCTATTTTCTAGCTGCAAACAGCTAGCATTACCTGTTCTCAACATCTGGCATTACCTACCTGCTTTGTCACCTTCCCTCAGGCTTCAAACAGCTATAGGGCCCCACCTCCTCTCCATCTAGGGTCCCTCCCTCCCCTTTCTCATCCTGAAAGGATCTGGAGACACCAGATCCACAAGTCCTGATGTCTTTAAAAGGATCAGCCCGAGGAATAAGGCTCATTTGAGAGCTGTGACATTTATCTGACTCTAGTGAAAGTCCAACAGCCACTCCCTTTTTGACTTCCAACTGGGCACTATGAGGGCCTGCATCCCCCTGGCACTGGCCGTGCTGTGCGGCCTGGCCTGGGCTGGTAAGTCACTCTCTGGTGGGCATGGGATTGCGCGTGGGGAGGGATCTTGCCTAAAGAAGCAGAGAGTTGGGGAACTTGGTAGAGGGCAGGGCCGTGGGACAAGGGAGGATGAGCTCTGTCCTAAACCTGCAGAGCATTGTTGGGTTATCCTTGTCTGAGGGTGCAGGCATTGTTCCTGGAATCAACTGGACTATGTGGAGTGAATTGCAGAGCTGATGGACTGATTTCATGGAAGTCCTTTCTTGACACCTTGGAGGATCAGCTCCAAAGATCTCTTAGTCCAACCTGACTTTTGATGTCCCTAAGATTTTGTTGTGTGGGGCCACCATATGGTATAAAGCTAGGGCAGGGGCCCACAGGGTCTGAGTGACCTGGCTGCCCTTGGTCACTCCTTCCACTGTCTGGTGACAGGTGAGGTTGTCTAGGGTATGACCTTACTTTGGGTAGAGCCTTAGGAGGTGGGCATGCTTAGGAGGAAACCAAGAGGACCCTTGACCAGGAGGTGGGCCAGGTCCTATGTGGGGTTGTACAAGGGTCAGAGGAATGGATCTCTGTTGCAGGTAGATTTAATTCTGCAGTGTTAGCAGAATTAAAGAATAGAGAAGGGACCTGGCCCACAGTTATGAGAGTTGGAGTGGATGGGACTGGCATAGGAACAGGACCATGTTCCTGTTTAGTAGCTGTGCAAAATGCTGGCGCTGATGTATTCATTGGTAGCTAGTGGGCAGGTGGAAAGGAGTGCCAAGGGAGGGGGTTGAGCTGAGGAGTGTGGGGAGAATCCTCTGCCCAGAGGAGAAAGAATCCTTCCACTCACTGGGTCACTCCTGTATGGGACTGTGGAAAGGATTAAATGAGATTATGAGAAGCACCTGGCACAAACTCATCTCAGTGAACTGGAACTTATAAGACTATAAATATTCTTGGGATAAACTTCTGCTTGGGGTCATTTCCAAATGGGATGTGGAAAGGACACCCCTAATGGGATTTCTAAATGCAAAACCCTTGAAAGAGGAAGTTGTTCCCAGGCCTCCCAACTAGGGATGAGATGGTGCACCTTACCCAGAAATCAGCTCTGCCTGGGTCCTAGTGGGTGGAGAGGGAGGGGGAGAGCATGAGGGTGGGCCTGAGAGCTACCAGCTTCAGCCCTATTGGTGGGGAGGATGGTAGAACCTGAGGGCTTAATATGGAGGGGTGGCCAGTGGGCTTGGCATATCCCAGGCTTAGGGAAGAAGAGCAACTCCGGATATTTGGTCCCTGGGGGGACATCCCTGAGGGCAGTGGTAGAAGTGGCTTCAGAAATGCAGGTAGAGCTCTTGCTACTGGGTTAGAGGGCAGCAATCTGTATAGGCTGTGGAATCAGCTGGAAGTGAGGTCAAGTGTGTGAGGCCTCCTAAGGTGGCAGGGAAGAGGCTCTGCACTTGTTGATACTATCCGAACATCTCAGAACTGAGATGCGAGAATATGAATCACATGGATCATTGCCAGCCTCAGATCCTCCTTTATGAGCTGGATGCCTGTGGAGAACCTTAATTGTTTTTTTGGTTGTGAATGGAGGCAGGAAGCTAGTCCAAGGGGTGAGGCTTCGTGGTTGACTAGGTCTCCATGGAAACAGCATCTAGGGCCTTCTGAGAGGCACAGGTGTAGGATGTCCCAGTCATCAGAGGGGCTGAGTGCCAGTGTACAGGGACACTGTGTCCACTCAGGCTTGGGAGCAAGCTTTCTTGATGGCCAGTATCGATAGGGAGTGGCTATTCTGGCATATTGAAGTCTGAGAAGGTGCAGAGAAATTGAGCATTCTGTGGGGTAATGGAGGGAGAATCTGAGCTTGAGAGAGGAAAGGCCCAAATGAAGAAAGGCAGAGAGTCAGAGTGGTGAAGCAGAGGAATAAGAGGCACAGGTTACTAGAGCAGTGATTCAGGTGCCTGCCTGGGGAAGAAGGCTTACTCAGTGTTGGTGTCAATGGCACAGTGTAGGGGTGCTGGAGTGAGTTGTTAGGGTGACTAGTTACTCATCAGAATATCCCCAGAACATCACTTATGAAGTGATGAAGTCAGCCAGGAAACAGCAAGGTGCCCATGAGGAAAAGTTCCTCCCCCTCTGCCCTCCACTGTCAAATCCCAAGGTCACCCTGAAGCAGGCCAAGAGCACAGAGACATGTGGGAAAGTGCTGGCATGGGGTTCTTGCTGGAGACAAAGTTCTTGGGCAGAGATGAAAAAGCCCACTCAGCTTGGCCGGCGGGGGTGCTCTCCTGCACATTCAGCGGACTGCTCGCTTGCAACCCTCCTCAACTGGTGCCAGCTGCTGGAATGAGGTGAATTATTTTCCTGGACTCTGCTGATTTGGCCCATTAAAAATATTGCCCTGATTTGCCTGAATTCTCTCCCTTTGGATTCTGGGTGTACTGCCAGGCTGACTGAGCAGGCAGCTGATGGGCTGAAAATTTCTCCTTAAGATCTTTGCATTCAGGCTCCAAGGAAGCATCATTTAACATTCAAGAGGAGTTCCTGTGGGCTTGAAGGAACAAGTGGCCTTGGGCCTGGTCTCTTTTAGGGACTGGAAATCTGCCTTCCTGACCACCTTGGATGACTTACAATGCAAAGTTGTCTGAGGACCTGGGTTAACCTTGACCTGATGCCTCTCTGATGTAAAGAATACAGACCTGTAGTGATCAAGTCGGTCAGGAAACCAGCAACACAGATGTGCTGACAACCCAGCCCAAGGGATGACCCTGCTGAAACCCTGGAAGAGTTTCAGCTAAATTAAGTGTGACAGCAGGGCCACTGCACAGGGAAGGCTGCTCCAGCCAGTCGGAACACTTGTTACTTGGAAGATGGGCATGAAATATTGCCACCGTTTATTTACCTAACAAGTACTTCTATGGTACTACTATGTGTCACTTCCTGTCCTAAGTGCTTTACACATATTAACTCATTTAATTCTTATAAATATTCTATGAGATAGACTTCATTATCATCCCGCTTTTACAGATAAGAAAATGGAGGCATAGAAGTTTAAATAACTTGCCCAAGATCACATAGCTAGAAAGCAGTAGAACCAGAATTCCAGTCTCAAGTAGTTTGGCGCCAGAGTCTAGGTTCTTTTTTTTTATTTTTGGGATGGAGTCTCACTCTGTCGCCCAGGCTAGAGTGCAGTGGCACTGTGTCAGCTCACTGCAACCTCCGTCTCTCAGGTTCAAGCAATTCTCCTGCCTCAGCCTCCTGAGTAGCTAGGATTACAGATGCCCACCACCATGCTTGGCTAATTTTTATATTTTTAGTAGAGATGGGATTTCACCATGTTGGTGGGTAGGCTGGTCTCAAACCCCTGACCTCAGGTGATCTGCCTGCCTCAGGCACCCAAAGTGCTGGGATCACAGCCATGAGTTACCTTGCCTGGCCCAGAGTCTAGGCTCTTAACCTCTCTGCTATGCCATCCCTCATTAGACACAGTATCAACCTCAATCCCAGAATCCAGTATTAGGGATTGGTAACTAAACCCAACCTCTAATATTTAAGCTCTAACCCACTCCTGGCTTCAATGAAGATACTATTTTGTGTTGAATCGTAACCAGAACCAAGCCCCCAAATAAAACAGGGATTATTTGTCCTTTTCTCATCCTGACACATTCCTCAACCCCAATGTCATCTTAAGTCTATTCCTATTCCTTACCCAAATATCAATACAAAATTGTTAATTTATCAATAAATTTAACTCAAGCACAAATCCTAACTGAAGTTCTTAACCTAATCCCAACTCTGGTCCAACCTGATTAGGTTTCAGTTTCCACCCTGATAGAAATTCTGATGCTGATGGTAACCCTGACTCTGATCTTGGAATTCTTTGTAGCCCACAGTATGATCACTAAACCCAGCGTTCATGAAGTCCAAACCTCAGGAACCTCAAATCGAACAAACACTCTGTTATCACCCTTAAAACCCAGAGTGGATAGTGAGTTTCCACAGCTCCTTCAACTTGTCTTACATCCCTTGCGACAAAAAGCTTGCTTCTGCAAACCATTTGGCTGAAGTGGGGGATGTGGTCTGTGGTTATATAATAGAATGCTATGCCAGAGCCCAATTCTCACCCACACTCGCCTCATTCCCTACCCTGAGCATAAACTAATCTGAATGCACTCCAAAGACTGGAAAGAACCGAAAGATATGACATGGGGAAAGAGGGTGCAGAGTGGAGGAAGGTGAGAGAAAAGCAAAGAAGCAAAGAACAGGGATGGGATAAGAGCCAGGGGGGAGTGAGAGGGCAGGGGGCATCCCTGGGACAGCATCTACCTGACAGGTGAAGGGGGCCTGTGGGCTACACCCAGTTCACAGACCTCTTTCTTTGGCATGTTTAAAGCTTTATAAGCTTGGAACATTTCACATAAAAATGAATATTTGTCTTGAAGAAAAACAGGAGGCTCTGGCAACACTGAGCCCACGTCCCAACATGGCAACAATTAGCTAGAGCTGAGCATCAGCTGCAAACTTCAGATGGAGCATTGCTCTTAAGTTTGTCACAGTCTCCATTTCTTCCTACTGCCTCATACCCTGCTTCTTTACTTGTTTATGTTATGGGCCTGACCCAAATAGGCATTTGGGTTTGTGATCCTGGTCTCCTTGATGAGCCTTGAAATATTCGGTGGGTGTTGGGCGGTGGGGAGGAGGCTTATGTTGTACTTGGGAGGCTGTGGATGTACTTCTCCCTTGCAGAGGGTAATGCCATTCTCTGCCAGGTATACTCCTGCCTTGGTCTGTGAACCTTCCTGCAGGAGGCACCTTAGGGAGGAGAATAGAGTCTCCATAGAGCTGAGTTTCCCACGTTTACTGCCCATAGGAAAAATGGAATCCTGTGCATCTCGATGTAATGAGAAATTTAACCGGGATGCTGCCTGCCAGTGTGACCGCCGGTGTCCCTGGCATGGGGACTGTTGTGAAGACTATAAACACCTGTGTACTGGTGAGCTTCCTTGTGAGACGAAGGCACCTCCAGCCTGCCTGAGGGGCCATTGGCCTGGGTGTCCAGCAGGCCAGAGCAGTGTTCAGGACTCAGAGGGGCTTTAAGGGTCTGGACAGAGAGCACTGAGGGACAGAGGCAGGGTCAGGGATTTGGCCACCACTTGTCTCAGGTTTTCTAGGATGCCCCCAACTTAAAATATAGTAGATGTCATTTACATAGAATATCTGTTTGAACTATCAGTATTAACAATATCTTGAAAGTTTAAGTACCAAATTCTAAAAAAGGATAAAATGATAAAAATTATATTTTAGTATGTCTGACATTACTAATTGTTATTCAACACTTTAAAATCACAAAAATGTAAAAATGGTAGCAAACTCTCACAACTTGTATACCGCCAGGAAGGCTGCATGGTGTCACAGTGACTCACACAATTCATACCACTCTTCCTCTAGTGAAGGGACCACGTGGCATGACATCTCCATTGTGTCATTTCCAGCTCACTGATGAAAACAGGACATGCACCACCTTCAAAGGCTGCTGCTCCTCCACTACTCCAACTGCACAGTTTTAAATGAATACTTGAAAACAATCTTGTATGAATAATCTACTTGTTTAGGTGCTTCCAAATTTAGATTAGATTCCATTAATCTCTTCCAGAAGATTAATGATCCGCTTTGTGACACAAAGCCTTGCTGTCAAGCCATGCACTCTGACTCCCAGTTTCGAGGACAGGTCACTGAAGTCAAGTTAGGTAATAGCCAGCAAGCCCACTGCATAATCTTTGCACAGGTTGTGCATTGTACAAGGGAACCTATTTAAGCAGCAAGCTGGACCCAAATCCAGTCTGTATCCTTCTCATCAGGTTGTGTGCCCTGGTGCAGAGTTGTGTCTGCTGAGAAAAAGGAGTGCCTTTTCTGAATTTGCTCTAAGGTGGTAGCCAGCCAAGTGCCCACAGAGCTGCTTCCACTCATATGGAACGTTTTTTCAATTTACACAAAAACACCATATGTATTAGTCCATTTTCATACTGCTATGAAGAAATACCCGAGACTGCGTAATTTATAAAGAAAAAGGTCTAATAGACTCACAGTTCCACACGGCTGGGGAGGCCTCACAAGGATGGTGGAAGGCAAAGGAGGAGCAAAGACACATCTTACATGGTGGCAAAGTGCAGGGGAACTTCCCTTTATAAAACTGTCAGATATCTGCCAGGCGCTGGTGGCTCAATTCTGTAATCCCAGCACTTTGGGAGGCCGAGGCAGACTGATGATGAGGTCGAGAGATTGAGACCATTGTGGCCAACATGTCGAAAACCCCATCTCTACTAAAAACACAAAAAAATTAGCTGGGCATGGTGGTGCGTCCCTGTAATCCCAGTTACGCAGGAGGCTAAGGCAGGAGAATCACTTGAACCAGGGAGTCGGAGGTTGCAGTGAGCTGAGATCGTGCCATTGCACTCCAGCCTGATAACAGAGCAAGACTCTGTCTCAAAAAAAANAAAAAAAAAAAAAAAAAAAAAAAAAAAAAAAAAAAAAAAAAAAAAAGGAAAAAGAAAAAGAAAAAGAAAAAAAAAACTATCAGATATCGTGAGACTTATTCACTATCACAAGAACAGCTTGGGAAAAACCTGCCCCCGTGATTCAATTACCTCCGACTGGGTCCCTCCCATGACAGGCAGAGATTATGGAAGTTACCATTCAAGATGAGATTCAGGGGGGACACAGCCAACCCTATCACTGTATATATTAGCATATGTATTATATATTAGCACCATATGTATATATGGGCATGCCCGTGCACATACACACACGCACACACACACACTTCCTTGCCTAGGCAGGGAGACCCAGGCCCAGAGCTCAGCCCGAATCAGAGCCTATGCCTTTTCCGCTGCCCTTGTGTCCCCACTTTTTCTTACCATTCAGCAAACACAGGAAGGCCTGTTCGCCTTGGCCCATCAGGTTGGCATTCAAGATAAAGGCAATACCCAGCATAACAGTCATTTCATCTCCAAGTTTCTGATTTGCAACTCAGAACCCCTTTCCAATAGAAAAACATATTGGAAATGATGGTTAGGACTCCAGCTCAGCATACAAAATTCTATTTGGCATAAATTGTGGCTGAATTCAGAAGCCTAACGATTGCCAGCACTTAGAACACAGCCTGATTATAGTAAGTGATCAGATGTTTGTTGACTGAAGAATAACCTGACTGGTTATTTTTCTGGTTCTGATGGTAATAACACGATACTTACCAGCAAACTCACTAGTAGATTCTGAATCACTTTGTAACAGTATTGTTTGTTGGGTGTGTGCGGGGTGGTGGGAATTATGTGATGAGAGAGGAACTCAGAGTCCCCAGGAACATTTCTCCCCCAGCCCCCTCCCCACCTTAAATCCACCCTTCTCCGCCTAGAGAGGCGCTAAAGTCATTCGGCTTGCAGGTGGAGGGAATGGGACAGCAATAGGAATGTGCTCTTCTGAACATGACCTTTCCCTAGACACAGTCTTTGTGGCCATTTCCAAGTGGGGCAAAGAAAGAAGGGAAGTTGGAATCTCAGGAAACGGCTCTTTCTCCTTGAGGCCCTGAGAATTTACCCTAGACTCTGATTAGAAGTTATTCTAGGTACAGGAACTTCCTAAATGAGAGCCTTATCATTAGGAAAGCATCAAGACTATCCATCTGTCAACTTTTGTTAAAAAAATGTCATCACCGAAATCAGAGTTTTCAATCCAGATGTGTCACGTGGGGACATTATTTTCCTTTTTTATAAATTTTCTATAATGTGTTTTCCATTGGAAACATCTTCCATTTTCTGTTTTCATCCTTGTTATTTGGTGACTGTCCATTGGACTCCAGCCCCTGTTCAGGATTTGCTTCTAGTGCCCTTGCTTGTCTCTGAGGCTGGGGGAGCTGAGAACCAGAAACCAAGCAGGAGGGGAATTCTCAGGTGATTGGTGACTTTATTTTTCTGTCTACCTGCAGAGGACCACAAAGAGTCAGAGCCGTTCCCACAGCCAGAGGAAAAGACAGAAGAGGCCCTTGCCAGCAGTGAGCCTGCCTCCCCAAAGGGCCCTCAACATAAAGCAGGAGGGACGTGAGGGTGACAAGGAGAGGCGGCCATGGCTGTGGCACCAAGCCCAGGCCTCAGCCAGATGAGAGGGGCTCGCTGGATTCTGGCAGCCTGAGCAGGAAGAAGTCTGGGTGGCTCAGCCAGCCTGGGGGGCTATGGGAGAAGGGTAGCTAGAAAGAGAGCCTGAGGCCCGGAGAGGGAAGTGGAAGAGATTTTATTTTTAGATTGGGAAGATTAGAAAAACAGCGTGCCAGAAAGTAAAGTTCGGCATCGGAAAGGACTTCCTGACTGTGAAGCGTGTGTACGAATTAGGCTTGTTTGTTTTCCTTCCCTGGAGATCTTTACTGGGCAGAGTCAGGAGAGCCAGGAGGGAGGGATGGCCTGTGGGGTGTTCACAGCAACCTCTAGTGGTTGGTCTGGGACACGCCTCCCCTCTCTTCTCAGACTTGTACTCGGCACCCACCTCCTGCCAGGGCCGCTGCTACGAAGCCTTCGACAAGCACCAGCAATGTCACTGCAATGCCCACTGCCAAGAGTTTGGAAACTGCTGCAAGGATTTTGAGAGCCTGTGTAGTGACCGTGGTTAGTCTTCTGCTCCCTTAGCTAACCTGCAGAGACAGAAGGACTCTAGAGTAGAGGTTCTCAGTGTGTAGTCCCCAGACCACCATCATCAGCAATGTCTGAGAACTCGTTAGTGCAGACTCTGGGGCTTTGCTCCAGGCCTGTTGAATCAGAAACTCTCAGGGTGGGACTCACTGCCCTGTTTTACCACGGCCTCCAGGTGATTCTGATGCATGCGGAAGCATGAGACCTCTCCTGGGGGGAAGGGGTGGAAGGACATTTTGTAGGCAATGCCATGTGCTGATTTTACAGGTCCTTCAGGCTCTGTGCCCCTGTCCTTCAACCACTAGGGTATCCAACTGTGGCTCCCCTCCCTCCATGCTGACTTCCTGAAGGTCCAGGAGGGGATGAACACAGACAATTTCCTGCCCACCTCCCACTTTCTGGCTCTGAGACCACCCCTCTCCCAATTCCTCCCAGAGGGCTTCTCCTACAGCAGTGATGCCATAACCAAAGAGGAGATTCAGAGCATCTCTGAGAAGATCTACAGGGCAGACACCAACAAAGCCCAGAAGGAAGATATCATTCTCAACAGACAAAACTGCATCTCCCCATCAGAGACCAGAGACCAAGTGGATCACTGCCCAAAGCCGTGAGTTCCTCCAATTCCTCTTCCTGCCCCCGAAATTTCGCCCCCATCCTTGCTTCTTGTGATGCCTCAGCTCTTTTATCCTCAAGTCAGGCAAGATCAAAGAGAGAAAAGAAAAAAATCAGGTCTCCAGAGACAAAGACATCTTGAGGGACTGTGGGTATCCAGTTGGGAGGGTTTCTGTGATTGGCCAGGCTGAGGATAGAACAGCTTTTCCAAAATATGAGGTGGAAGAAAAGTGACCTGATGTGTGGCCTTCAAGAGTACCTGAAGTTCCCCCTCAGCTCCTGAACCCAGCCCTCACCTGCCTGCCCCTGGCCTGTCTAGAAGTCTCTGGAGGGGTCTCTGCCCCGAGTTTGGGGCTCTCAGTGGTTCCCCTCTGCCTCCCCTAGACTCTTCACTTACGTCAATGAGAAGCTGTTCTCCAAGCCCACCTATGCAGCCTTCATCAACCTCCTCAACAACTACCAGCGGGCGACAGGCCATGGGGAGCACTTCAGCACCCAGCAGCTGGCCGAGCAGGACGCCTTCCTCAGAGAGATCATGAAGACGGCAGTCATGAAGGAGCTCTACAGCTTCCTCCATTACCAAAGTGAGTGAGCATCCCCAACCCACAGGACTCATGAGTCTGTCTAAGGGAAGCCAGGTGGGTGGGGGAGGGAAAGGTTAGGAGGGCAGGTGAGGAGGCGGTGGGGACTCTGTGGAAGTTGGTATACATCTGAGAGGAATCAGGGATGAGGCCAGGGGGAAGCCAAGAAAGATTAGGAACCCAACCAGGAGATGACACATCCTCTGGCTGGCTGGCTGGCCTGGAAATCACCCCACCTTTGACTTCATGTTAGCTGCCTCATGCATGCCTCACCCTCTGCTACAGTCTTAGGGTTCTCTGCCTGGCGTGAGCCTCCCCTTAGATCCCACCCCCACCCAGGGCACATCTCAGCCACCCAAAGTCAGCACCACATTTCAGATAGGTACAGTCGCTGATTCTACTTACTCCCTTCTCCTGCACTGAAGTCCAGGAATCGGGCTGGCTGAGTCCACCTTTTGGCTGGGGAAATAGCATCAGAAAATCAACAAAGGTTCAAAGAGGGAAGTCCTACCAGGAAGAGTTCTGGTTAGAAAGCCTCCAGATGGAGATAGATTTGAGTCAGACCAAAAAAGATTTTGGCCGCAGGACTTCTTGGCATGGGGTTGTGTTTGTTAGCATCCTGCAGATTTCTTTCCAAACTCCAGGCAGCTGGACTTTGTCTCAGGGGTGGCTCTGCCCGGGTCTTCCCTCTTTGCCCCTGAGAGTGCTTGGCTCTGAGGGGCTGCCTCCCTTAAGAGTTGGTGACACTGTTTTTAAGGAAAGTGACAGTGACACAGGACTGACTCCATGAAGACGTTGCAATCCTGTGCTGCCCCCTGGTGTTTTCTTTGTAGTAAATACACAAGAGAATCTTGGAGGTCTAGACTGAGCAAGGGCTTTTCAAATGAGAGAAATGGAGGTCAGACAGGCTAGACTTACCTGAGGCCACAAAGGAGTTGGAAGCAGAGCTGAGGCTGGAACTCAGGGTTCTGACGCCAAGGCCAGGCTGTCCCATTATTCACTCTCTTCTCACCTCTCTCCTTGTCCAAATCCCACTTATCCTTTAAGTTCTGTAATAGCCCATATCCCACCACATTTGTGAAGGCTGCACCTGCCACTTGCTAGTGACTCGACCCTGGGGAATTTATTTGACCTCTCTGGGGCTTCCCTTTGAAATGTGGTTTTTGAGGATGACTGCTTATAAAGCACCCAGTAGAAAGCCTGGCACTGAGTCAGTGCTCAGTAAGGGTAGCTATTCAGTGTGTGAAACCATTCTCTGTTATTTCATGTATATTTAGTCTTGTTTTCCAAATGTGTTTTAAGTTCTTGAAAGGAAGGAATATGTCTGGTATCTCTTTTGTATTCACCATACAAAATTCTAGGCAGTAAACAGGCAATGTTGGATGGTTCCCTCATTGAAATCTCCAGCCCTAAAATTTCTCAAGGGCTTTTTCAACATCTCCACTTGGCTATCTAACCGATATTCACACAGAACTTAAAGTAGAAAGAATATTTGGTTCCCATCTCTTTCTCCATACCTGCTCCTCCCTGGGTCTTCCCTGTCTCCCCTTCTCTTTGTCCCCTGGGGCTACTTAGGGGAACCTAGAGCCCAGAAAGTACCATTAGGAACCACTCGGCCTCATAGTCTCTAACATTTGAACACATTGAGTTCTCCCACTTCTGAAACCCTAAGCAAATATTTAATTTCTGAGGATTTCACCTCTAGAATCTGAGATTTTGAAATATTGCTCTAGGAAAGATGAGGAACAGCATTCTTTAAGACAAGACAAATGACAGCATAACCCATCCAGTTGCTCAGATCAAAAGCCTAGGAGTTGGATTTAATTGTTCTCTTTGCCTCAAAGTTCCCTACCCCCATCGCCTCCATCAGCAATGTAATGTCCTGGACCTACTGCTGCTCCCTCCTCCTTTGGAGTTAACACCACCATCTAAGCCCCATCAACTTCTTATGTGGCCAAAGCATGAGCCTCAAAACAGGTCTCTCTGCTTCTACTCACACCACCCCATTGCCTTTTTTACATCCACAGCCAGGGTGATTGTCTATCTATAATTCCCCTGCTAAAAATCCTTCAGTGGCTCTGAAGGATTTTAAAGCTGAGTTGTTAAAGAGATTGGTCTCTGGAGTTAGACTTAGTGGACTCAAGAGCTCTCTCTACCTTTAATTAACTGTGTGATCTTGTATGAGTTTGATACTCTTTGTCTGTCTCAGTTTCCTCATTTTAAAGTTGGAGATAATTAGTACCAACTTTATGTGAAGATTCAATGTGAGGATTCAGTGTTATATTGAAAGCATTTAAAATGGCACTAGGTACACAGAAAGCAATTAGTAAACCTAAAATATTTTTTGTTTTATTTCTATTTGCCTCAGATCTGACCTTCTTGCCATGGCTTGGAGGATCTGACTCCTGGCTGCTTCTCAAACCTCCTCTCCTGTCACTCAGCCATCACTCCCCCCTCCTGCCTCATTGACTTTCTTTCAGTTCTTTGAACAGCAAACTAGGTCTGCCTGGAGCCTTTGCTCTTGCAGGTCCCTCTACATAGAAGAATCTTCTCCCCAGATCTTTGTGTAGCTGCTTCCTTATCCTTCAGCTCTCTGATCAGTGCTACCTTCTCACTGATCAGAAAGAGGCCTTTCTGATGTTCCTTTCTAGAAGAAACCCCCCACCCCTATGCCAGCCCTCCAGTCATTGCGGGCTACTCTGCTTCATAGCACTGATCTGAAATCGTATTTCTTATTGTTTACTTGTTTATGTTTTGAATCCTCCACTGGAATGTAAGATAGATAGAGACTGTGACGGTGCTATTCCCAGCTGAATCCTTAGTCTTCAGATCTGGACCTGGCATAAAATAGGCATCTCATAGATAGGTGTTGAATAAACAACTGAACACATTTGTTGATTGAACCCACATGTCTCTTGGCATGTGGGAGCAGGTAGCCCTACAGGCCTCTGTTTAGCGCTCCCAGGACCTAGCCCTCTCCAAAGGCCTCCCCTCTCCAAAGCCCTGTGTTCCTCTCTGCAGACCGCTATGGCTCAGAACAAGAATTTGTCGATGACTTGAAGAACATGTGGTTTGGGCTCTATTCAAGAGGCAAAGAGGAGGGGGACTCAAGTGGCTTTGAACACGTCTTCTCAGGTGGGAGCACTTTTCTTGAAAATAAAGGGTTGGAGGGATGAAGAGGAATGGCTTTGCTCAGGAGCAGGGTAGCCCTGGGTGTGGATTAATCAGCAGTCGAGCCAGCTAGCAGGGAGGGACCCGTGCACTCCCCTGCCCAAATGGCTGGGGTAGAGGGTGGTTCTCAGGAGCCATTCTGAGAAATTTCTAGAGTACTTAACTGAGAAAGAAGACCAGATGCTGAGATTCCCAAGAGGTTACATCTAGGACAAGACAAATGTCTGGGAGCAAGGGTGCCTACCTCTGAATAGTACTTTGCTTCCAGGGCCTGGCCAGCTGCTTCCCAAGAGGGCCATGGTCTGTTCTCTCCTGTTCTGCCCATAAAACTCCCACCAAGCTTGGCTTGCTGCTGGAGTAATGGCTGAAAGAGGTCATTAGGATCACCAGAGGGAAGAATTCTCCTAAGGGCTTCAGCCAAAAGGGGGGTTTTCCTGATGTGACAGATAGGACTGTGAGAGACTATGCGGGCTCAGAGCGAGGGGGTGGGCAGCTAGAAGTCAGAGACTGGAGAAGAGGGAAGCCTTGGCATGGGGTGGAGAAAGGGGTTTAGAGGGCAGGGTGGGGAAGGAGCCCCGATTATGCACCTTGGACTCTTTATTATAGGTGAAGTCAAAAAAGGCAAGGTTACTGGCTTCCATAACTGGATCCGCTTCTATCTGCAGGAGAAGGAGGGCCTGGTTGACTATTACAGTCACATCCTCGATGGGCCTGTGAGTACATGGGCTGGAAAAGCCTTGACAGCACCCAGATGTCCTGCTCTCACTCTGAGTTCCAAAGAGTCAGACTTGTATCTCAGCCTGACTCTCATGGGGCAGCCCCAGGGGATTGTGACTATGATGTCCTCACCTACTGGACAACCAGTTTAGCCAGGACACTGGAATTCCCCTCCAAACAGTGAAGGCTCTAGAACTGCAGGGGACAGGAGGCAGAAGTCACCATATCTGGGTGGCAGGCTGGGGCCTGGGGAGGATTCTCAAAGGGAAGAACCAAAGACATACAATTACCCACTGCCTCAGTTTCCTTAGAATGTGGCTGAAAGCTTTAGCCTGGCGAGTATGAGCTAAACTTCATACACTTTATAAGGCAGAAACCTTTGCTGCCCAGTACCAGGAAATAATTTGGGGGCAGCAAATGATCTTTCTCTTCCATGTGTGAGGGCCACAGGGAACAGTGACATCGTTGATACCCAGAGATGGATCCTATGGATAGTGACTTTGGCCTTCTTGGTAGATGTACACTGGCAGCTCCAGGCAGAGGGTCCGGGTGGGCTCAGACACCTTAGCAAGGCAGACTGTCTCCTCTATTTAAAGAATCCAGTCTCTCTGGGAGGTTCACACAGGCCCCCAATGGACCCTCAACAAATACTGTCTGACTGTTGCCATTGGGCACCTGTCCTACCTCACTGTGTGGCACTCACCAGACCCCCTTTTCTGCCCTTCCCTCCGCAGTGGGATTCTTACCCCGACGTGCTGGCAATGCAGTTCACTTGGGACGGCTACTATAAAGAAGTGGGCTCCGCTTTCATCGGCAGCAGCCCTGAGTTTGAGTTTGCACTCTACTCCTTATGCTTCATCGCCAGGCCAGGCAAAGTGTACGGACGGGGCCAGCCAGGCCCAAGGAGCAGTCTGGGGCCGCGGGCTGTCGTCAGATAGCCCAGGGTTTGGAGACCTGGACTCTGCCACAAAGAGGCTGGGAGGGCTTGGACAAATCTGTGCTTTGGGCCTCACTTCTCTTGCTTGAACAATGAAGTTTTTGGATAGTTCAGTGGCTGCCAAACTTCATCTTAGCAGCAAAACTATCTCCCCTCATCTCCTCAAACTGAAATCTTCCATAGGACCTTAGCATATGAAATAGAAGTGGAGTTGTCTTGGGGCTCTCAGCCTCTTTGTCCCCTGGGGCTACTTAGGGGAACCTAGAGCCCAGAAAGTACCATTAGGAACCACTCGGCCTCATAGTCTCTAACATTTGAACACATTGAGTTCTCCCACTTCTGAAACCCTAAGCAAACATTTAATTTCTGAGGATTTCACCTCTAGAATCTGAGATTTTGAAATATTGCTCTAGGAAAGATGAGGAACAGCATTCTTTAAGACAAGAAATAAGGCAAAGATTTTGAAATGGCTCCCTACACATGGGGACCTGGAGGCAGCTGCTGGAGAAAGCAGTGCCAGCTGTCTTTAAGGCTGTTTAAGCTCCATCCTTTAAGGATGGAGCCCTTCTGCTTAGGTTGGGTTTGATCCTTCCAGCCCAGGGAGAGGCACGGTAAAGTGGTAATCCCCTCTGATTTCAGGATCTTTCCCCACAGGTGCCAGCTAAGCCTGGGAGGATATCCCTTGGCCATCCGGACCTACACCTGGGACAGTTCCACCTACGGGAATGGCAAGAAGTACATCGCCACAGCCTACATAGTGTCTTCCACCTAATAGAACTTTGAGCCAGAAAGGGGCATGAGGGCTCTTGCAAGACTAAAGTGCTATCTTCTTTGGACTAGAGAGAAGAGGGAGAAGACTGGGAGGGATCCCCTCATCTCAAAGCAATGAGAAGCATTCCTAAATCCCAAAGTGCCCACATGGGAAAGAGAAAATGTACAAATTAGAAAAATGTGGAGAAACAGTCAAATCTTTGTCCTCCAGAATTTTGGCTATGTAGACTAAGAAATAGAGTCCAGGCAGAGAAGGTAGGAACCCTCCATAGCTCTTTGCCCTGATGTGTGGGGAAACTAGGAACAAGTCCTTCAACCTCACTAGGCCTCATGCTTCCCTTTAATGTAACAGGAAGGGGTCTGCCCACTTTCCTCTTTTTGCGGTTGGTGAGAGGGCAAACCCTGATGATATTTTTACTGTGAAGGTGTTTTCAATTGTTCTTAGGAAGAACAGCTGATAGAAATTCAAGCTATAATGGCTGTTATTATACACAGCTCCATAAACGACAACTCAGCCCTGTGTTGGGGTCCTCAAAGAAGTAAGGCCACAGTAATCAAGCAAGGACATTTGTTTTTTTCCAGAGTTAGATCCTCTCAGAACAGGGTCTGGGATAATTCCAATGTTGGATGGACAAGGGTAATATGTTGGTACAGTGAGTGGGCTGGGGGTGGTGTGGTCTTCTCTAGGCCTGAGTGTTTTTATGTTCAGCTCAGTATCTGCATCAAGAAGTTTCCCACTTGTGTATGTTTAGTGCAACTACAGACTTGTATTTTGATCCCAAATAGTTTTTTTTTTTTTGAAAGAGTTATCCTCATAGGAGGAAGATTCACCATCAGAATAAGTAACCTGTAGGTTGGTGTCATTGACATAATTATTTTAGGCCAGGTGCGGTGGCTCACACCTGTAATCCCAGCACTTTGGGAGGCTGAGGTGGGCGAATCACG